CTCTTTCTCCCTCACCCTCTTTCTCCCTCACCCTCTTTCTCCCTCACCCTCTTTCTCCCTCACCCTCTTCTCCTCGACCACCCTCTTCTCCTCAACTCCTATCTCCTTTCTCCTTCTTTTACTTTCAACTCGACACTTTCCTCTATCTTCAACTTTCCCTTCCCTCCTCACGGCTTTCTTGTGACACCTGACGGGCCCACCACCCACCCCTTCTTCTACCCTCTTCTCTCCCTCATCCTTTGCTCGTGATACCTCATCACGGCCCCACCACCTCCCCTCTTTCTCCTTTACCCTCTACCGCCCTGCCCAACTGCTTTGCGACACCTTGCGGGCCCACCGTTCACCCTTCTCTCACGCACTACGGCATCTACGGGCTCGGGAATGCCTTTCTGGCTGCGGCACCACAATCGGGTTTGCCAAACTTCCCCTAATTACTGTTCTATCTTGTGACAATACTCTCTAAACGCCCAAAACACCTTTTTAAATGCCTCCTCCTCTCTACATCTTACTTTTCCTAAATTTTCGTTGGCTTGATCCTGCGCTTTCTTTTCAATACAAACGGCTGCTTTGGGTTGGGGACTTACTTGTTTTTGGGTACTCTTCCTGGTTTGCGGGCTCTTTCTGGGCTGTGCGCTGTTCTTAAATGATCGGCTCTTACTATTTGGGGGCACTGATGTGGACTCCCTTGGCTTGCGGGACCACTTTCGGGCCACTCGGGGGGACTACTTTCGGACCACTTGGGGTGGCGCAATACTTGGCGCGCTACTTGGGGAACCACGTGGGGAACTACTTGGGAACCACTTGGATTGGGGGACCCACTCGGATTGGACGTGCCACTCGGGTGGGGCAACCACTTGGGCTGACGCACTACTTGTGGAACTACTCGGGGAACCACGCGGGTTGGTGCTGACTACGCGGGTTGATGCTGACTACGTGGGTCGGTGCTTACTACGTGGATTGTGGATTTGCATGGGTTGGTGGACTCTACTGGGGTCGTGGGCCCTTTCCTGTGCGTTTCTTTCTATGCTTTCGTACGTTTCTGAAGTGTCCGTGTTGCTGTTTGGCCATTTTGCACTTTCTGACTCCTGCCTGATGCTGACGCGCTGTTCAGTCTGCCTCTAGTTCATCGAGACACGGAACTCTAAACCTACAGCGTCAAGTTGTTATGAATTCACTTCAGCACAATTACATACGGCTGTTATACAGTCATCTCTTTGTTCGTACCTTGCGTTATACTGGTTTCGTCGGTTCTGACTTTCGCGTAAGTAGAAGTCAATCTGCCTCTGCATCTCACCCTTCAGCGTTAAGTATTGACAATCTAACAGACTCTTACTGCGAAACCTATAAATTGTTTGTATACTTAACGTAACGTAAATACTAAGCGAGTGAGCCATCGAAGCGAGTGAGCCACCCAACCAACTTTGCGCACCTTTACAATCATATATCTCAACAACGTGATAATGTAATGTTTAGATATTTATAGAGTAAATTAAGCAGTATCTAAAGTATCTTTTTTACACGTACGCGAGTTGTGTCCAGTCTCTCTGCATCTCTTACAGCGCGCGAGTGCCTGGCGGCTGCGGCCTAATTGCTCTCCTCCTTGACGCTCTTCACGAGCAATCTGCTGATCAGCCTCACGTTGAGCAAGTATATCCTCTCCAGCTCCCTTTGTTAAGATCCCACACTGCTGTATACGCCTTTTTTTACGCTGTTTGCGCGCTGACGCTGCCTCATTAGCCTTCTCAAGGCTGGCAATCCGATCGCGCATCAGCTCAGCTGAGAGCATCACTACCTCAGCACCCTTCTTGAGCTGGTTAATCGCCTCAATGATTGAAGCTGGCGATGAGCTCTTGTGCC